GGATGCTTGCCGCGGCGCTAATTCAGCTGTGTGTATTAGAGCACATGAATAGAGATGATCGTTTGATGAGACCACACACATATCACAGATACACACACACGAGATGATCTCCATTATTCTACGATAATAGGTGTAACGCGCTGGGGAAAGGCCGACTGTGATTGCGGATTCTGTGCTAAAAAAAGCAACTACGACTTTCAGTATGCACTTTCCGGTGTCCCTCTTTCTCTTTCTCTCTGTCTCTCTATCTCTCGTTGCGGTAATGATAACTTACGTATATGGAGAAAAGCGATTGTTCGACGATTCGCGATGAGAGATTGCCTGGAATCGGAATCACGCGCTGTGATTTCCGATTCCGCGCGATTTTCCTTTCCACCCTTGCCTCGTCGCGAAATTTTCCCTCGTATATCTTTGGAGCGCGCTTATAGGGTGTCCCACAACGTGATGTGCATACTGAAACTGTGTATTCTTGGTGTCATTCTAAGTCGAAAAGTCTTAAGGGAATCCGAAGCTAACTTAAGTTTAATTCCTGTTTTATCGACAAAATGTGAGATTCAGCTATAAATCTATTTATTGACTATACGGATTGTTTTTTACCCGAAATTAGAACGTTTCGCTCTTTGTTAATATTAATACTTTTATTTGTACAGGAAAAAGACATCAATCTTAGAGTTCTTAGAACTCATAATTCTGTAACCAAGATATATGAGACTGTACGCAGATTGATAAGTATTTTTCCTGTACAAATTAAAGTATTAATATTAATAAAAGGCGAAGCGTTTTAATTTCGGGTAAAAAAACAATCCGTATAGCCAATAAATAGATTTATAGTTTATCTAATCTCACATTTTGTCGATAAAACAGGATGGAAATCACAGACTTCTCAAGGACGTTTAGGATTACCTTATGCACTAAAGTCGATTGTTTTAAAGTTACAGCAAAAGAAAAACGAAACAAAATCGCATAAAACAAGAACAATATTATTTATTGAACGATAATATTTAATAATAATTAATTACTTTATTTAATTGTGCGGTAAGGTAAGTCAAAAAGATGCTTTTCTCGCACTAGTGCAGTAAAGTAAGGCGTACATTGAATCGTTGAGAAATAAAATAAGCCACTTTCTGAACACTAAACAGCAATAGAAAATCTTTCCCGACTGGCAACAATTGCCATAGTGAAAAAAATAAATAATAAATAAATAAGTAAATAATAATTAAAAATTAGAAGTAAATAATTGCTTTTGCATTTTTTTACTATAAACTTTAAAACAATTGACTTTAGGACATATGTTTATTAAGACTTTTTGACTTACATTAGAATGACACCAAGAATACACAGTTTCAGTATGGACATCACGTTGCAGGACACCCTGTATATTTTTTTGTATTCTCTCACGTGTCTCGCCATCGGGAGAAATATCACGAGCGGTATTTTCCGTTTGAAGTATAGACTGCAATTTTTCGCGTGACGTTAACTCCAGACCCTTTCTCAGCAAACTTCTGCTTCTCTACTTAATTTCATTCGTGACTTTTAACGCGATTGAAACAACGATGTGCCGCCGTGAAAATAAATATATTATGAAATTCATAAAATTCTTTAGACATTTATGAGATTATATAAAAATTTCAAAACTTTATTTAATTATATACACGGGGAGAATTTTCTCCTAGAATTTGTCCTGAAAATCGTTGAATAGTATATCTATATGGTATTGAATAAGAATTTTATGGGAGTTTCTCTGATTAATATTTATCCTTAATAAGATACAGAATATGTTCGATTAATTTTATTATGTACATATATAAATATGTTTTATTGTGGTAAATATTTAATCAGGAGAAACTCATAAAATTCTATCAATATATTGTCCCACGTGATATCATGTGATTTTCAGGATAAATTCCAAGAGAAAACTCTGTGTATAATAACATTATATTTTTGTATATAAAATTACATGTATACTTGTAATATAATTTATTTATTAATATTTTTATCAGTATTTTCAGTATATTTATTACACTTGAATTAAACGATATTGCAATAGAGGAGAGCGAGTGTTTTATATAGCTTCAATTGCAGGGGCACCCCTGAAATTGCGGAGGGATAGTTATTCTAATCGATGCCGCGTGACGAGGGCGTGTTATCGCGTGTCGTAAGACGAGAGAAATTAACGATTAAGTTGCGCGCGTGTAAAACGGGGCGAGACCCACGTGCGATTCACAATCACGGTTTATTTCCTTTTCTCGCGGAGCATCCGTTCATTGTTCGCGATGCTGCGCGTGTGTTTACGGCCCGCCATTCGCCGCGGGTCTGAGAACGGCTATACGGAATATCGGGCGCGTTCACGGAGCGTGATCTCGCGAATAACAAAGTTCTCGAACCTGCCCCTGCAGGTGAGAGCGGAGAGCCGTTCGAACGCAGACCGTTCACCGCGAAAAACATCGAGGAAAGGTGGTTACCGTAAGTCGGATAACGCGTTACGCGTCACGCACGTTCGATCTTCCTTTTTCTTTTTTTTCCCGCACGCTGAAAACATTTATCGAATACAAATATTAAACAAATGTTTTTTTATTCATTTGAGACTATAATATTGATTTGGTGTGCAAAATATTTATTTGATGTAAGAACATCCTTTTTACAACATAAATATTTATTTGTAAAGCGCAGGATTGAAATAAATATTTAATAATTTAATAATTTTTTCAGTGTAGTATTTTGACGAACGACCTAGGTCAAGAATTGCAAGTGTGATATTTCATTACTTCGTAAAAAGCGCAGCTTTATATCTTAGAACATATATACCTGGAAGGGGAATTGCTATTGTTCTCCATGGTAAAAATCTGTGTCCAAGTTGGGTGCGAGAGAGAAAGATAGCTTTTAACCTATGCTCGCAATGCGCAAACGTAGATGACGTCACGGTGACGTCACGCTCACCGCGCCGTTTGAAACTGGAAATGTAATTGGTGCTTTCGCTAATTCGCGTTTGCGCATTGCGAACGGAGGTAACAATCTACCCTTCTCTTTCCTTAAAAACGGTTCTCTCTCGCACCCAACTTGGACACAGTTTTGCGCTCCTATTCCCCTTCCATATCTATAGTTCTAAGATATTACGTCTAATATCGACAAAATTCGACGATTTCAGAGAGGATGCAAGCATCAATTTTTGTAAAATTGCCTATTTTAGTAGATTTTGTGTATGTAAACATGTAGACGTATGAAAAATGAACATAAGAGTCGTTACGATATTAATTAATCGTATCGATGAATGTGCACGTTTGAATATATCTCGGCAACCTTTATGTCGCGTCGGTCTCGCTGACAAAATGCAACACGGGGATTTTAAGTTGACATTTTTATTTCGACGCGTTGAAAAAGTATTTCCGCGTTTTACATGCGCGTGGCGAGGTTGTTGAATAATTTAATTAAAATGGGTTTTATTGCCGCACCGCGCACAGTACAGATTTTACGATAAATGCATGACTTATAAATATTACAACAGTGGTAGCTTATCACGAGAAAATCAACAAGATTATCGCGCGATACCGTATATGCACGGAACTTGACAAATAATTTGGCACTTTTGCATTGCATGTAATTGTTCGAAATTTTTATTCCGAACAAAATCCTCCTTTTGCTCCGACCCATCATAATCATCGTTGAAAAATCGCGTTTCATACATACGCAACGGAGAGTTTGGTTCGCGTTTGGTCTCTCGACAGAGAAAAACGGTAACTCATTTTTTTCTACGCGAAACGCCGTTTAGATAAGCACTTTCTAATGCACGCATCGAAAGTTCTGCTCTTACACAAGCGATAAGCGAGCCAGCGACCTCCGCTAGTACGTTCCACTTGATGATGTATGTATGTGTTTGTGTATGCGTGAGAGTTTATCCTCGGTGTAATCCCTGTCCTTTTAAACGCGTGTTGTTCGCACACATGGACTCTTACATCGTCATAGATTTGCATGTGATAAATGAAATTGCGATATTTCTTTTTACAGTTTCTTAATATGCTCTTATTCTGAAGAAATAATTGATTTATCCAACTTTATGAGAAATAGAACGTGCTTTATTTGAGACAAAATTTCTAGAACATTATATATGGAACAATTTTAAATTACGGACATACATTTTTAGAAATTTAAATTTAAATAATAAGAATATTTTAAGTCAGCTCTTTAATTTTTAAACCACAATCTACACTTCATTCCTCTCGACCAATAGAGCCAAACGCGATGTTATTGCGACAATTAAGAAAGAAAATTTGGAAACTAAGGAATTGCCGATTCAGCCGACTTTCGGACCAATATTTTTCTCGCCTATTTCTTTACAGGGGATGTTACGAGAAGGAACAAGGGGAATTTCTGAGATCCCAACCATAGGATTCAAATTCCTTAGTTTCCAAATTTTCTTTCTTTCTCAATTGTCGCAATAACATCGCGTTTGGCTCTATTGGTCGAGAGAAATGAAGTGTAGATTGTGGTTTAAATTTAAATATTCATCATTGAAATTATATTATCAAAGTAACAGAAAATTTTACATATTCTAAATACTGTAAAATTTATACACTTTTGTTTATATTCAGATGTATATAAAGCACGAGCCAGTAAAGCGATAAATTAAGTCGGGCTATAAATTCATATTTGAACCACATATGAACTTTGAACAAAACAAACAAAGGGGAAAGACAAAAAAAATGATACGGTCTCGCATTGTCACTCGAGCATATATGTATTGTGCCAGTTAGATGATCGTATGCTGGCTGTAACGGTCCGGGGTCTCAGTGGCACAGTTTTACATCTTTTCTCTCATATACCTGTTTCAATTTTCCAAGTACATCGTTACATTGATTACCGTTCTATTTCTCGCCGTCAACAGCCTAACCTGTGATTTGTCTCTCCCGTCGTAGAAAGACGCAGATTCGCGTGTAAAGTGGTGAAAAGAAAAGAAAAGAAAAGAAAGAAGAAAGATTTTCCTTAACTTTTTAATCCCAAAACAGAATAGAAAGCAAACACGAGGTGACAATCCTAGGAGGACTAAATGAATTCTCCGTCAAGTTCTACGGTCCACGAGGGAGTGAGTACATTATTTTATTTTTGTATCATATGAAGGAACATTCGTGCAATATATGGAATTAAATTTTATTTGAGATCAATTTGGAATAGAAATTATTTGAGTATAATTGAATTATAATTCCGTACTGTGCACAGCTTGTTCCATGATCGTTATCGTTTACAATAATGTGTAGCAGTTAATTTAATTAGCGTTGCGATCTTTATTTTGCAATCAATCGATTCAATTAGGCCACATAGAATGATAATTAGGAATATTAAATATAATTTGGTTTGTTAATATTTAATTTCAATTTTGCCTGAAAATAAGATACTGTGTGATATAATTTTATTACAATCGGCAAAGTGCAATTACGGATAAAGATGTTTATCACTGTAATCTTACCTGACATTGAAGCCGACGTTAATGCAGCACTCAATGGGTGTCCTTCGCGTTCTTTTTATGTCACTCTCAATTTAATAGTTTCTTGCGTATCGCCTTGGATTGCTATTATTATCACTATTACATTACGTTATTACTGGAATTAAAATACGCGACTGAGAAGACGCGCCATAATTACCATCTGTATAATTTAGGTTGTAATTTTACGAATTTTACGACACGTTTGGCAGCGTGTAGTTTATCCATCCGTGCGAATTTTTTTGTTTCTCTTTTGCACATTAAACGCTATCTATATCGTGAAATTCGAAGCACTATCTATCTTAAAGTTTTCGCATTTACCGTAGAAATAATATAATTAAAACACGACGGCAAGAGTCTTTTCATTACGTTTTCACTTCGTGATATTTCGGTTCAAGGTTTATGCGCATCTCTTAGAACCGGAAATGCTTATGCAACTGCTTCGTACTTGCGATTTTCTCGGTTTGCTGGACATACGTGTGAAGCGTATTATCGATTGGCAGACGGTTCTCGCGAAAGAAAGTTCCTTGACTCGACGAAAGAGACGCGAACAACTAAAACAGCTGTCCTTAAGAGAACGCTTTCAAGCAGATCGCGTCGAAGATACTCGTTAATGACACAACTGTATGCGGATAGCACACAGGAACAGGTTGCAGACAGCAATTAAAACGGAGATCGTCTCGCAGGAATTTAGAATTTATTTGTGCAAATTCTTATCACAGAAAACGATTCGCAAAATCGACCATGATCGAGAAATAGGATAATTAAATGTGGATAATTAATTGAGGATAATTAAGCCGCGAGATTGATTTGTTGTTTCAGAATAAAGAAATCACGATTCCGCAAATGAGAACCAATTTACGGATTCGTGATTTCATCAATTTGTTGTGTTCACACAACCTTTAGCGGCTCGAACTGAAATTCTATAATCGCGTAATGAATTTCGCTCTGCCACGGTGGAAAGCAAATCGTCTGAAGATGAAAGTTTCTTGACCTTTGGATCGTGTCGGTGAATCATTTGAAATCGCGCGCGCAACTATATCTACCTTCGTTCGTAAACTCTTTAAATTAGATCACTTTTCAGATAGGTCCTTTGAAATTGCGCAGCTGCATCCGCGCGAGTATAACTTCATTTGCTTAAGACCCAGACTCCGGGACTTGGGCTTTTATACTCTGACGAGATATGCTACATTTGCGGCAGAATGTACCGCAGGATAATCTTCGCCTGGATTGCCCGAGCAAATTGTAGAAACGTCATATTCAACGCAATCGGATCTGCTGTCGTTTACGTTGTGTATCGCTACAATATCGTATATGCAAAAGATCTGCACGAGTTAAAATGATTAAATCTCTACATCTGTGTAGGATCGTATTTTTAACTTAGATTGACATTATCATTTTTCATTATATTATGTTGTTTTAAAAGAAACTCTTAAAACATTTGATTTTCCTTATTAAAATTGTACACAAAGAGAATTTTCTTTTAGAATTTAGGAAAATTATATCTCATGATAATCGTGAGACAGTATTGTATTGGAAGAATTGTATATAAGAGTTTCTTTTTATCACAAATGAAAAATATTAATGTGCATATTAAAATTAATATAACATATTTTAAATTTTATTGTGGTAGATATTAATCAGAGAGAAATTCTTATAAAATTCTTCCAATACCATATATGATTACTATGATTTTCAGGGCAAATTCTAAGAAAAAATTCTCTTCGTGTACGTACATTAAAAAAAATATGTTACATTTTTTAAATATTTATCTACATGTTTTTCTTTGGCAAACGAAAGAATGCAATTTGTTGTAGCAATAATAAAACGTTAAGGGGATCCTAAACGTCCTTGAGAAATCTGTTGTTTTTTTCCTATTTTCTCGACAAAATGTGAAGTTAGATTAAACTATAAATCTATTTATTGTCCCTTTGTTAATGTATTAATATTTTAATTTGTACAGGAAATAATGTATCAATCTGTATAGTCTCATGAATGCTTAGAATTCATAATTCTGTAATCAAGATATGTGAGACTATACAGATTGATAAATCTTTTTCCTGTACAAATTAAAGTATTAATATTAACAAAGGGCGAAGCGCTCTAATTTCAGGTAAAAAACAATCCGTATAGTCAATAAATAGATTTATAATTTATATAACCTCACATTTGTCGATAAAACAGAAAAAAACAATAGACTTCTCAACGACATTTAGGATTCCCTTAAGGGGAATCCCTCTCGATTTCTGTTTTATCAACGCAGTCGTATATTTTCGTACTTCTAGTATATCTTTTTTTTAATTTGATAGAATTAAAAATGCTTCTCTACGATTGCAATACATGTATCAATAATTCCAGGGAAACTCGATTTGATATGAAAAACGTGAAATAACAGTTTTTTTCATCTATTTTCATCTCGATATGACATCTCGAATTGCAGAAGAACTGTCAATCTCATCTTAATAGGTATTTTATATAAAACATATGCACTTTGTACGAATAAAAATGCACATTCCCTAGGATTAGAGGACACGAAAGAAAGCATTGTTACCCTCTAAACCTAGATTCGAAGTCTAATAAAAATTTGTAATTAGAAATATGATTCGTACGTATGTGTGCGTGCGTTGTGCATACGTACATATGTTTTGGATATGTGTGCTGCTATTTTGTCAGAGTTCGTCATTTGCTGAGGGATCCCCTTAATTCGATCTTAAATTTTGCATCTGCTCTCGAATCTATTGTAAGGCTCGCGATAGATTAGGAAGAGCTTACTTGGCAATCCGTTGGGTCTGCGATGCCGATAATACAGACTATTCGATTATTTCGCGATCGATCGTTGTAGTCTCGTAATTGTATAATCAATTTTACGTATTTTCTCTTTTCTCCCATATACGCGTGCATAAGGCTTCGTTTGTCCAACCAACCCTTCACTTGCCACCGTCCGCGAATTAGCATCATCGAACTACTCCCGGAACAATGTAAATCAGATCGTGTTTCAACCCCTTTTCCCCTCCTTCGGTAAACTATGCAGCTGCGCGAGTTCGTTTACATGCGTTCATTTTCCAGTCGCAAAATAGATGAAAGCGCATCTATTCATGGAATATTGTTGAAGTTTTTTAATTACGAGAAAAAAAGGAACATATAACTCTCTCTGTGCCTCTGCAATAATCGGAAAACCTTTCGAGCGACATTTGAATCTCGTCTTGTGAAATATTAGAATTATCGAAATAGGTACATCGAATAATTTTCTGTGATTTTTTTCTTAAACAAGAAATAAAATAATTGCCTGCTCGCGGAGCTGCTTCTATCGGCTTTAATTTGTTCGGTTGAATTATGAAAATGTACGAAACAAGTATTTAAACAAGTATAAAATGCAACAAAGCGTTTATTGCGAGACAAGCTTATATAAGCTTTATGTTAATGAAACAACTTTTTTAGATACTCTCGTATAGTGTGTTTTAAAACAGATTGTGAAATAGTTTATACGCTAATTCTTTCCAACTGTATTAGCAAAATCGCACTCTAACATCTTGATGATAATTGTGAAATTATTTTGTTCTCTTATATTTTTAGAACATTTGGTCTTTCAAGTTATGTAAATGAATCGAATATAATCAGTCTTAATATTAAACATACAAAGTTATACAAAAACTGATCAATTTATTCATTTAATTACTTTGGACCGATATTGAATATTCCTCGTAATTTCGAATGGATGTAGAGCATTAATACTTTTATCTCGACATTACTAGATTAATGTTGATTATTCTCAATTCACTGCTATTTGAATTTATTTTTTTAATATTTTGTATAAGTATACATGTATATAAAATTATATACATTATATATTATGTATATATGTAATTATATGGAATAGCACTTTTAGTATCACATTTCGTTACACAATTTTCCGCATAAATCCACATGCGAGTCAATGAGTTTCCGCGACTTTATTAATTGCTGAAGATAATTATCAAATTCCGATCGAGAATCGCTTCGGTGGTCTATTAGCGCTCGAACGTGAGAGTTAAATTCCAGTTACATATCGGATATTCACGCTCTGTACACGAGTGCTGAAAATGGATTCGGTGAATGGCGAATTGCGGGATGTCGACGGTGAACAAAGGTTTTCGGCATAACAGCTTCTCCCCGATTGCATTTAAACGTATGGCATAGGTTACGAGAAATTCGCGACTATATGACTATGTTAGGTTTTCTCATTGAATTGAAATTCTGCAAGTGCTACTGCAGAATATTCTAATTGCTTATTATTCGCGATTCGACAGTAGTCTTTGATTACATGATTCGACGAAGTTGAAATTTATTTTTTTCATAGAAGTTCTAAACGCGATAGATCAGTTTCGAGATCATTCTCGGAATCGATATATAATTGAAATTTGTTAAAGAGAAGTGAGAATTTATTGCATCATCGTTATACGATTTCCATGAAAAGAAAAACGTATGCTGAATAATTTTATGTACGTGACTTGATTGAGAAAAAAAAACCATATCTATCCCGATTGATCCTATCAGGTTATGAGATAAAAATGTAATTTTGCATACAATATACGCGACATTCGTGCGAATATAAGGCCATAAAAGTT